AGGTATGAAAATTAATTAGCACTTCCTTGGGAATATAAGCAACATCCTTTTCTAGTAGCACGTTTAGCACAGTCTTACCATTGTATCCTGGCACTGGTTTTCCTGCCTGTCCGGGCGGAGGTGTTGTAGAGTTCCCCAAACCAATACAGGAAGCAGTAATTGCAGAACCAGATTCTGTTAAGAGAACACAAATATCGTCAGCTAAGATTGTTCTTAAGTGTCATTAAGTATTTATTGGTTCTAAGTTTTGCTTCTAGTTCAGCACATCAAAATAATAAAATAGATTTAGAATTCAGGAGCTTTTATGTATTATCTAGTGAATATAAGTTCATTACAGAAATTTGCATTCTTCAAAAGGGAACTTTTTCCATTCCATACAAAACAGTCAGAAATAAACACCTTCTGCATTACACCTGTAGTTTATCCCACTATGGGTATAAGGCTATACCACGCCAGTAAGAAACTGCCTACAGCAAAGCCGTAATAGAAATACTGTGTAGGGCAGATGTACTTCAAGGGTTATTTCACAAGTCAATATCCTTGGGAAGAATGAATTCCAGAAAAAAAACCATCAATCCATTCTTGGCTGATTATCTTATCCCTGTAAAGAAATATCAAAGTGTCTGTTGTTCTATTTTGGAGCTACACATTCAGAGGTTTGGGAGGTGCATAAATGCTAAATCTTCTCCACAACAATATTTGTCAGGAAGATCAGAGAGGAGGTAGTGCCTAACAAAATTTACTGTAAATACTGAAGTCAAGAATACCTTGTTTATAATCCTGGAGATCTCACTGGCATTTCTTGGTGAGAATTACTTCAGATAACAAAAAGGCTCAAAAAAGAAATGGCGTAGAAAAGTCAGGCCTAAATTTTCAGTGTTGCCAAAATAAACTCAAAAGAAACAATCTAAGGAATGGGAATCTAACTGCTGCAAGATTTTCTAATCACAAGACAGATATCTTCTCCTCCTACACCTACAAACATTAAAGTTTTACTAACCACAGCATTTTGGAGTGAGTTTCTTTTGGTGGGGGTGCAGGGCAGGTGGGGGAGATGTGAGGAGACAAATGTCTCTTGCTTTTGAATCTTATGAAGATATTCATTCACCTAACTGCTGACAGATAAATTGAGCACTGGCACTGCACGCCTCTACTCCCTGCACGGAGCCCACGGAAGGCAGCTCTAGAACCTCCTCTGAAGTGCCAACGTAAAATACCTTGTTTGGAGCTTCCAAATGAGACAGTACAAACACCCCCTGTAATGCCTGTGCCTTCCTAATTATCCCCATAGTTAGACAGCTAGAAATTCCTCCCTCCTCACTTTCCTCTTTTTCTTAAGAAAGCTCAATTTCACCTAACATTTTTATACTACAGGAGTTGTCATTATAGAAGAGGAATAAAAGATTCTAAGTTTGAAAAAAAAGAGTCTAAGTTTGAAATCAACACATACAAATATCTTAAGGGTGGAAGTCACGAGTACGGAGCCAGACTCTTTGCAGTGGTGTCCAGCGACAGGACAAGGGGCAATGGGTACAAACTGAGGCATAAGAGGTTTCAGTTGTATATGAGGAAAAAATTCTTTACTCTGAGGGTGACGGAGCACTGGAACAGGCTGCCCAGGGGGATTGTGGAGTCTCCTTCTCTGGAGATATTCAAAGCCCGCCTGGATGAAGTCCTGTGTAAGATGCTCTAGGAGAACCTGCTTTAGCAGGGGGGTTGGACTAGATGATCTCCCAAGGTCCCTTCCAACCCTTGCCATTCTGTGTGAAAAGACCAGCTGCTCTTCTCTCTTTC